TTCAGGCTGGACATAAGGAAGAATTTCTTTACTGTCCGAGCCCCCAAGGTCTGGAACAGCCTGCCATCGGAGGTGGTTCAAGCACCTACATTGAACACCTTCAAGAGCAAATTGGATGCTTATCTTGCTGGGATCCTATGACCCCAGCTGACTTCCTGCCCTTTGGGCAGGGGGCTGGACTCGATAATCTTCTGAGGTCCCTTCCAGCCCTAATGTCTATGAAATCTATGAAATCTTCTCTTTATCTGACAAGGAAACTAAACTAAACTGTTACACTGATAGATCACGGGTTAAAACTAGGGGTGCACCGATACCGATGGCCAATTTTTAACAAGCCATATCAGCCGATACCAATCCAATTGCCAATATGCAGCCTGGCAGCTTGGAAAGCAGCATCCAGCTGGTAAGCCTGTTGGATGGGAAGGGGCGGGGGGAAGGAAAGGGTGCGGCTCCTGCAGTAAGGGAGGGAGTGGGGCTCGGGCTGGGGCACGGACAGAGGCAGGCACTGCACAGCCGGGGGGGGCACAGGACAAAGCTGCAAGCGGCTCATTTGGGGGACACAGGGGTCGGGAGTGGCAGCTCCCACTGCCTGGGAGGGCATGGGAGGCACATGCCCCTGGGTCTGTGCACGGGGTGAGGGTAGGCTGGGGCTGGGGCAGCACTGGGCTCTTCCCAGCATGGGGGATGGGCTAAGCTGCACTTGGGGCAGGCAGCAGTGGTGCTCCTTTCATAATTCTCAGGCACTCAGCTAATACTGAGGCTGATGGGTACCATTGCTGGCAGCCAGAGCTCATGGACTATGAACTACAAACTACTCTTAGAAACAGTCTTCCCTTATAGGCATATTGGTGGGAATATGTGCATTAACTTTGAATCCAGTGTGTGGATACGTGAAAAACTTCAGTTTCCAAGGCTCCATATTTGGCACTTTCCATAAACAGAAGGCAGACACTTTCTAATGTTGCTCAACCAGCATCTAGTAGCCCCTCTCTAGTATATGTAGTACAAGTGAGTAAGAGGAAAGAGATAATCTTCCATCTGTTAGCCTAAGTGACAAATATCATAGCATACTTTACCTGGGACAGCAATCTGTTCCTCAAGCTCCACGTCTCAGAGGCAGAGAATAAAGGTTTCAGTAAAGTTATGGAAATTATAACCAAAACACAGCCTCTTAAAAGCACTTCAAAACAGCAAGATAAAACCTTGAAGAGACCATTAGCTTGCCCCAAAGCTTCTTGGGTTGCGAAACAGCAAAGATCTCTCAAAGTATCACTTTTCCCTATCGTACTAAAAAACTTAAATTTTGAATTATATTTCTGCAATAGACTCCCTCTAATGAAAAAATGTCTCTGTAAAACTACAAGAAAAAATAACTATTATAATTGAATTTGTCATTTTTTCCAAAAGCTTGTAACAAGAGATTGTACTGAAATGGACAATCTTTTCCTATAGGAAAATCTGGCCCAAATTGCAGTATCTATTTAAAACTCAGTGTTGCAGGGCCTGAAAATTCCTGAGGTTAGCTTGAGGGGTGTTGGTTATAGCTGTGTTGGTCTAAGGACACAGGCAGACAAAGTTATTTGGGTAAATCTGATATCGTTTATTAGACCAACTAAAATAGTTGGAAAAATTCTTCTTTGCAAGCTTTCAGGTACAAACACCCTTTTTCAGGCAGAGGGAGTGACTGAGGTTAGCTTGATATATTGAATAAAAACCTTCCATGAAAGGAATGAGGAATAGCTACCAATAGAAAGTACAGAGAAACAGTCAAATAAATGGCAACTATTTCTCAGGAGTTTGATCCATTCCCAAAATACAGAATTCTCTTAGGAAAGCTAACTGTCTCTTATTACATATTTGAAATAAGACTTTGAGTCAAATGTTAGGAGTAATGAAAACAAATGTACACATGGTTGTTCTCTTTTCAAATTACCTAATAATACTGGTCTTTGACTAGGGGGATAAAGGGCTATGAAACTCCAAGATGTTACACCAAGCCCTTTTCATCTTCAATTCATAAGCTAAAATTGTCAAATTTTAGGGACCTAATATAATCTAATGAATCTGTGGGCTCTCGATAAGCATACTGTACAATATCCCTGTTTACATATTGGATTTCTGAGAAAGTCTGGCCCTGGATAGATTTAACATTTGTAGTGCTGCAAGTGCTGTTACACATTGAATGCTATAAAAATACACCACTGCATGGGTGTACAGATGTAACACTCCACAGCTGGAGTGTTTCAAAATCACTGTATTCAATGACATGCTCTCCAGCCAGGGGTGGATATGGGACTGCAACTCCACTCTCCTCCCCCACCAGGGTACAGGGGTCTCTCTGTGAGCACACTGAAGTCCCACATCTCCTGGAGACTGTGGTTTCCCTCCTGCCTACACACACAGGGGAGGCAGGATGTCAATTAGTATGCTGCAATCCCAGGTCACTCAAGGACTGCAGCTCCCTTCTCCCCCTGCCCCAAGGCAGAACGAGGAGCCTGGAGGCAGGGAAGCTCGCAGGGACTCCTGCTCTCCAGCCCCAATGACAGCTGAGCATACACAAAAACACTCACTGACTGTCCACCTTGATCTCTCTCCCCCTCCTAGATGGTGGAGGTGGAAACATGGGGGATGCTGTGGGATTAAGAGATCCCTACTGTGCTACAGTTCACCATCCACACACAACCTGTAGCAGTTCGAAAATCCCACAGAGAAGTTCTCATTTCACCCAGAAACATTCTTATGGCACTTAGGCCATTTCTGTAGCTCTACAGAAGGCACGAGCATCTGTCAGCTAGACTTCCGTAGTGCTACAAAGTTAGATCTTGCCAGCGTCTCTGTCAAACCTAAGAGCAAGGCAGACAGCTTCAACAAATATTCTTACACATGCATCAAGTAAAGAGAACAGGTCTGATTATTCAAACACAGGTCAAGCATCACAGGGGCAGTCCCCTAAGTCCTCTGAGTAACTGAGGACGAAAAAAGTCAGAAGATGAAGAAAGACTTCAAGCCCTGGCCCTGTAACAAAAGCCATTTAGTGTTACGGTAATTGGGCTCAGATAAACAAAAGGGAATTTTGGAGCTTTCTTCTATTTCTTCAGGCCATCTAGGAAACAACCCTCTGGCTTGAGCTACGAAATTAAAAGCCAGTGCATGCTTATGACATTTCCTGGCTATCAGCTTAGGCAAAATCTGAGAGTCCCAATCTCCTCTTACATATCCAAGTATAATTCCACAGCTTTTGATGGACTTCCTCTTTATTCACACTGATAATAAGGAATAATCGGGTGTCAAACTTCCACTCCATAGAGGAAGGGAGGGGAAAATCTCTCATGAGGCTGCATGCAGGATTACACAGCTATTTCCCAGGGAGTGTGAACTCTGAACATGGAATTAATTAATTCTAGAGCATTTTTGAAGAGCCAATATACAGACATTGCAGATTTGATACCTTATCAAAGAAAGAACTGCCCTCTACTATAAGACCATCAGTTATACAATCAAATTAGCATCTCAGCAATCAAAATCAGTTACTTCTACACTCTGTATAAAGACAGGCTTTGAGTGGTCCAACTGTTTGTTTCAAACCTGTAATTCTCACATATATGAAAAGCCACGGATAAAAGTACTGAGTTTAAAATAAGAAGGGTACAGTGTAGTATATCATAGTTTGAGCTATTCATAATACAGCATAGCATGATTATACTCCTGGTGACAAATGTCTGGCTTAGGCATTTTCTACTTTGGTATTCCTAGTACTCATGGAAGCGTAAATTATTTTTAAAGTATTGTCCTACATATCCATGTCTAAATATCAGAACAGAAAATAAATCCCAAATCTTCACACACAAAATATACACATTTTGTTTTATACATAATGTGTATGTTTGTCAAATATTACAAAAATGCAATTCTAAAGGAGTCCCAATCTACCCACTGGATAGAATAGTCAAGGTATAGTTTTAAAACATTGAATCCAATCTTTCAAAATAGCTTAACTAATTTCTTTGCAAATTGGTAAAGAAAAAATTAATTAAGCTCTCTGAAGCTTTGCTTCCCAAGTAAGGTCCCATAGTGATTTTTCAAAACAGATTTTTAAACTTCTGTTTAAATTCTGCTTTACACAAAGTTTTTGGTATTTTAGTCACATCAGGCACCTATACACAAACAGCTAGGCTGCTCTGCCGCACTGTAATTACAACACGTTGTAGCAGACTCAATTAATTGAATCTGCTGGAGCATGATCATTACTGCACTCCAGCAGACTCCAATGTCTTGTGCAACAACATCCCTGCACTTAAAAATAGCAGCAGGGGTGCTTTAACTAAAGCTTGTTCAACGAGCTTTAGTTAAAGCGCCCCTGCCACCATTTTTAATCACTGGGGAGCTGATACACGAGACGCTCTGGGCATTTTAATTACAGCAGCTCTCAGAGCAGCTCTAATTAAAGTGCCCTGCCCTCATTCCTGGAGCATGTGTATAAATGTCCATCATTCATAATGCCACAGCACCACATCTCCAGAATTGAACTTGTAATTAAAGAAAAACAAACCTTACCTATTCAAATTTGCAGAAAATCTGGTTTACACAAATTGGCTTTAAAAGCTGTTTCACACACACAACTGTAAAAGATTCCACAGAAAAATCCCCAAACAGACTTATTTTCTTTCAATCACTCTTAGCTGAGAAAAGTTGTTGATGTTAAACCACATGCAGAAAGTTACTTACCTTTTATTAGTTGGTCATAGAATTGAGGTTCAATAGAACCAACTGCCATGAATTTTCCATCGGAGGTCTTGTAGGTTTCATAAAAAGGTGCCCCACTGTCCAGCAGGTTCTCCCCCCGCGGTCTGTTCCAAATACCCAAGATTCCTGACTTCCACAGGAAAGAACTTAGATATGCAGTTCCTTCAACCTTAAAGATGCAAAGAACGCTTTATAGTAACTAGAGAAATGGGTATCATGCTCTAGAGTTAAATTACACTTGAAGTAAGTATTCAAAGTTGCAGGCAAATCTGTTCTTCTTTAGGATTTCCAGTTGTAAAATTCTTGCTGAGTAATTTGAGAGAATTATTATTGTAAAGAGCAAGATTAGTTTTCAAGATGTGTGTGTAAAATTTTCTAAGATTATAGAGAGTAACATGGAACCCAGAAGGATTGTCAACCCAAGATTTTTTTTTTTTTGCTGAAAGTCTGCAAGCTTTTTACTGACAGCCCAACTTTTATACTGACACATTTTATTACTAAAATATGTTTTATATAATACAAAAGTAACTCTTCTGCCAGGCCCTGCCCTGCTCTCAGGTCTCAGTTAGGAGGACTGGCTTCAAATTTAGGGATTTAACATCAACTATAGAGTTTGGCTGCCACTAAAAGTTTGCAATAAAAAAAATAAAAAATCTCAGGTTAGCAACCCTGCTGGACTTCAGTGATGGTTTTACACTGTGCTGGGGCCCCCACAGCTGTACCTAGGGCCTCCCACTCACCCCCACACCCTGATGCTCCTGACTACACCCTGCACCATGCTGCCTCCCCCTGTATACCCATAGCCCTACCCTTGCCAGCCCTGCTCACCCCATCCTGGCACGGAGCTCCAAAAAAGCCTAGCTGCAACCCAAGACTAGTAAAGGCAGCCTGGGATGCAGCAGCAGCAGCAAATGGCTGAGAGAACATTCCCTACAGGATGCTGTGGTCCTACTGAGACATCAGCTGGCAATATTGTGCTCAGTTTGTTGGAGCTTCAATCAAGGTGCAGTGAGGTTAACTTATTACTTTTACTGACAAATAAAGTTTTTTGTTCGTTTGTTTGTTTATAGACTACTGACAACCATGCGTAGCCCAATTTTTTACTGACAGTCAGTAAATTTACTGATAGTTGGCAAACCTGGAACCCAGAGAGATCTGATTTGCATGAGAGAAATTCATTTTCTTACTTCCATAAGCTCCTAGAAATTCATAGTTAATGTAAAGATTTATAAAATGATAGGACAAGCTCCTTAGCTCCCCAAAATAATATCAGTGTAAATGCTATTACTGATCTCCTTCAAGTTTCTACTTTTAGAAACCAGAAGCGTTTGTAGATGACACTTTTAAACATGTTTAAAACAGGTTAAATGCCTTTTGCACCTCTTGAATGGCATTACTGTTTGCATATTCAGTGGTGTATTGCACATTAATTCCAGCCACTGTAGCACATTCGGTGGCGTAAGGTGCCTTAAATGATTTTGGGGCACTGCAAAGTAAAGCACCTCTGAGGAGTTTTAGTTTCCTACCCTACAGCCAGGGAGGGAAGCACCAGGCTCTGTGCAGCTCAGAGGCTATGCAGGCAGCCCGGCAGTAGCCTGGGAAGGCAGGCTCCACAGAAGGAAAAAAAAAAAGTGGCAAGCCTTATCTCCTCCTCCTCCTCCCCCCTTCCTCCCCCCCGAGCCTGCCTGCCTGAGCTGCACAGGGACCCAGCACTTCCCTCTACGGCTGTGGTAGCCCCTGGGACTGCCCAAGCCATGAGCCAATGGGGGAGGGGGGTGCCACTGCCACAGAGGGAGGTATCAGCTGTGCCTCGCTCCCCCCACCCCTGCAGCTCACGGACCACTCTGCCCACCAGCAGCTTGCTCTCCCATCACCACCACTGGAAAGGCAGGTAAGAATCGGGCTCCAACATGGGTGTACATGACATGGGGGTATACTTTGCCCTAAACTGAAGCAGTGTTTTTTAAAACCACTGCTTCAATTTACGGAGAATTAAACCCCCGTGTTATGTACAAACCCCTCAAGAGACTTAAAACTCAACCTTTTAGCACCAATTTAAATAACTAAAACTTCTAAATGCTTCAGCACTTACCTGGCTGAGGTAGGTCTGCTTGGTTTTATAAGCAGACAACTGGAAGGAGATCAAAAGGTAAATATCTGGTTCTTGCTCTAAGTACCCTGGAAGCTAAGGATCTGGATCACTGAGTTAACCAAACTATTCTCCCACAGTTCTCACTAATCTGTGTTTCTTCTGAGGGTGCTTGCACACAAGTGCAGAGCCTGCTCTGACTAATCCCGTCTGATTGAGCATGATAATTACTGTGCTCCAGCACCCTCCCACCTCTCATGTATCAGCTTTGCCACACTTCAAAAAGGCAGCAGAGGTGCTTGAACTAAAGCTTGCCAAATTAACTTTGGCTCAAGGGTCCACACCGCCATTTTGAAGCATGGGGATACTGACACACGAGACACTGCGGCACTTTAATTAGAGTGGCTCTCACAACCACGAAAAATTAAAGTGCCGTATCCCACCCCAGCCATGTGAAAAATGCCCTGAGATTCTCACTGGGCATGTCTACACATTCATTAATGTGCTTTTGCTACCATGCATTAAGTTGAGTACCTCTATTATAAGGTACTAAATAAAGGCTGATTAGGCTGCCCCAATGCCCAATAGCAAAAGCAAATGCCTGCTGACTGCCACTTAACGTGCAGTAGACTAATTCTACTGTGGATTAGCATATTAACTCTGTTTTTGCCATGACGCTTTAATGTGCAGTAGAATAAGCTACTGTGCATTAAAGCACATGTGTAAATGAGCCCACTGGCAAGAGCAAAGAGAAGGAAAATTATATAGCCCAGGCCCCTGATGAATTCAGGAACAGGAATCATAGGTAGTACCTGTCTGTTCATCTAATGAAAGCTGCAGGTTTGTACAGTAAAACCAGGTAAGGTAACCATTAATTCAAGTTTAGCCTTTCAGCCATTACCCAATTTAAATGCATCCTCCAATAAAATCTCGAGGTTTTACACAGTCACTACTTTTGTACTGCAGCAGAATCCTCCTTCTCTCCAACCTGACTTCTGCTCAGAGTAAGTGAAGAGTTAGGAGGGGAAAGGTTGAGGAGAGAAGGGGCAAAGGGAGGGATGACAGGTGGAACGAATTTCTGATGATTCCCCTATAACACATTTGGAAACTGACTAATCCATACAGTTCCAAAACCTCCTTAGCCACTAGGAGGTTTAAAGCCATAACTCATTTACTCTCTATCTTCTCACATAAAGAACAGCTGCACCAATAAAAGTTCTAAGGGCCCAATGGCATCCATTTTATCCATTGTTAGGCTTCTGCTGGCAGAACTCTCACGTCACATCTACACAAGATGCTTACTGCACAGTAACTCATTACTACTGCACAGTACTGTTGCCGACCACAAACCATGATGTGATGCTACTGAGCAGCAGTAACAAGCTACTGTGCAGTAGGCATCACAAGACAACGGTGCTGGGACACTACTGTATACCAATGTCGGTTACCGCCCAGTTGTTTAGTACATGGTTATGCAAGTACTAAATGACTGCACAGTAACAACTGAGCAGTAGGCAT